ACCTGGCTGAGGCGGGCCGTGAGGGTGTAGGAGGCCTCAAGCAGCACCTGGTCGGCTGTAATCCGGGTCATGGTCTGTCCGATGTCCGCGGTCTCGGTCTGGGTGATCGTCTCCTGGGCGTAGATGCGAAGCTGTTCCTGCTTGTCGCGCACCGAATCGAGGGTGGTCAGGTTGGCGCCGATCTGCCCCCGCACGTCGGGGATGTCGCGCACGGCGCCCTGGATGAGGTCGAGGGCCTGCTCCAGGCTCGGGCGGTCGATCATGCCCGGCGTACCGGCGTTCTCGACCAGCTTCAGACCGCGGATCAGTTCCTCGAAGGCGCCCTCGGCGGCGGTGACGCCGTAGTCCAGGGTCTGGGACTCGTCGATGCGGGCGGTCAGCACCTGGGTGTCGCCCTGGTAGTAGCCGGCGTTGGCCGGGACCGGGTTGTTGGGATCGTAGGCCGGGTTGGTCGGGTCGAAGGCGCCGAAGTCGACCGGCTCGACGTCGGTGCGCCCGCCGGCGAAGAGGTAGCGCTCCTCGAAATTGACGTTCAGCAGCCCGGCGACCTGCTCCAGCATGTCCCCGGCGCGCACGTCGAGCTGCAGCTCCTCGGCGTCCTCGGCGTTGAGCGCGTTGACCAGCAGGGTCTTCGCCTCGGAGGCGATGTCGCTGAGCTGCGAGACGGAGATCTCCATGGCTTGCAGGCGCCGTTCGGTGGCGGCGATGTTGCGGTCGTGCGCGTCGATCCGCGCGATCGTCGACTCCATGGAGAGCAGGCGGCGGGTCTCGGTGTTGAGCCCGGCGTAGTCCTGACTCTTCATGCCGGTGGTGCCGGCGATGTGCCCCTCCTGCAGGCGCTTTTGCGTCTGCATGGCGTTGTACAGGCTGAGCTCGTGGCTGCCGAAGGTGGAAACTCGGAACATCGCTCTCGTCCTTGGGCTTAGCGCATGATGCTTTCGAGGGTCTCGAACATCCGGCGGGCGGTGTCGAGCACCCGGGCCGAGGCGCTGTAGGCGTTCTGGTAGAGCACCAGGTTGCCCATCTCCTCGTCGATGTTGACGCCGCTCACGGCGCTGCGGCGGTAGGCCATCTCCTGGCTCAGGTTCTCCTGAAAGCTCTTGTTGGCGCTGGCCGCATTGGCCTCCATCGAGGCGTTGGAGAGGATGTCGGCGCCGTAGCCCGACAGCGTGGTCCGGGTGAGCGGCAGGTTGCCCGCCGGCTGCACCAGCAGCTCCTCGTCGAATTTCTCCGCCAGCGCCGTGATCACCGTGTTGTCGCCGGCCGAGAGGGCGGTGTCGCCGGGGGCGGCGGCGTTGACGTCGAGGCGGCCGCGCGAGATGAGCTGCGGATTGCTGGCGATGTCGCCGCGCACCTGCAGCATCTGCGACAGGCCGGTGATGGCGTCGCCGGTGACGTTGCCCGGGGTGACGAAGAAGTCGTTCAGACCGAAGTAGTGGGACAGACTCTGGGTGGTCACCGTGCCGTCGGTGACGCTCTGGTTCGGGCTGTCGGCGATGGCGATGCCGTTGGCCGCGCCCGTGGCGGTGATCTCCAGGCCGTTGCCGTTGGAGACGGTCGCGGTGGCACCGGCCAGGTTGGCGTTGATCCAGTCGCGCACCTCCTCGGCGCTGTAGGTGTCGGCCGGAAGCTGCGCGGTGCTCACCGTGACGCCCTCGGAGTCGACGACCGAGAAGCGCACCGGCTGGCCGACCACGATGTTGTCGACCGTGATGTCCGCGAAACTGCGCTGGCCGCTCAGGCTGTTGGCCGGGGGCAGGCCGCTGCCCTGGTTGTGCAGCCCGTTGACCTGGTCGCGCAGCAGCTCGGTCATGCGGTCGAGCTCGGCCTGCAGGCCGGGCAGCTCGCTGTCGCGCATGTCGATCAGCCCGGCGATCCGGCCGTTCTCGAGCATCGGGGTCAGGTCGACGCTGCCCACGTCGATGCCGTCGATGCCGCTGCCGTAGGTCACGCCGGGCCCGATCGCCGCCGCCGCGTTGTGGGTCAGCGTCTTGGCGGCATTGTCCGCCAGCACGGTGCCGTCCGGCGTGTAGACGACGATTTCGCCTGTGCCGCGCTTGAAGTAGTTGATCTCCATGTGCTCGCTGATGGTGTCGATCGCCCGGTCGCGCTGGTCCTCCAGCTCGACCGTCGGCTGGCCGAGGCCGGTCATCTGCGAGATCTCGGCGTTCAGCCGCACGATGTTCTGAAGCTGCTCGTTGATGACGTCGACACTGCGCGCGATCTCGGCGTCGGCCTCCAGGCGCAGGTCCTGCAGGGCGTCGGACATGTCGTTGAGCTGCTGGGCGACGATCTCGGCGGCATTGATCATCGCGATGCGGTCGGTCTCGCTCTCCGGGGTGACCGACAGGCTGGCCACCGCCGCGCCCAGGCTGTCGATCCGGTTGGCGATGGAGGAGTTGTCGGCCGGCTTGCCGAAGAGGTCCTGCACCCGGTCCAGGTAGGTGCCCTTGACGTCGAAGCTGCCCAGCATGGCGTTGGCTTCGCGGATTTCGCGCACCAGGCGTTCGTCGACGGCCCGGCGCAGCGAGCCCAGCTCGACGCCGACACCCTGGCCCGCGACGGTGCGCGAGCTGGGCTCGACCATCTTGCGGCTGTAGCCGGGCGTGTTGGCGTTGGCGACGTTGTTGGAGGTCGTCGTCATCGCGGCCTGGTTGATCTGCAGGCCGGATAGCGCGGTCCGGAGAGAGACTGTCAACGACATGGGGGGGGGCCGCCGCCTGGGCGCTCCTTGGAGGGGTCGGGTGGGCCTAGAGCCGCTGGTCGACGCTGAGGGACAGGGCCGCGCCGCTGGTCACGGCCACGGCCTTGCCGGCGCGCGCGCTGTAGGCGTTGGCTTGGCCGCGCTGGCGGTCGGCCTCGGCGACCATGTACTTGAGCAGGCGGTCGGTCGCCTCCTTGGCCGCGCGCAGGGCCTGTTCGTTGGCAGCCAGGGCGGCGTGGAAGCGTTCGGTGGTCTCGCGCAGCTCTTCGCGCACTGCCGGCGCGACGACCTCCAGCTCGGCCGGGTCGGCGTTGAGCTCGCGCACCGCGGCCTCGTAGGCGGCGGCGAGCACGATCTTGTCCTGCTGGAGCTGCTGCATCTCGCTCGGCTTCATGTCGCGCAGCATGTCGATTTCGCGTTCCAGCACGCCGATCAGGCGGCTGGTCACGGAGAGTAGCTGGGTCACGCGGGCCGGCTCGCCTTGCGGGGCGGCCCCGGCCCGGGGCGCGCGGGTCTCGAGGGCGGTTTGGGCGGTCATCGTGCCACCTCCTGAAGCTTGAGAATCTCGGCCTTCACCTGGTCGGCGATGCCGATGCCGCCGCCGGCGGTGATGGCCTTGCCGTATTCCTGCAGCATCACCGAGCGGTAGGCCTTGGCGGTGCGTCCGCCGAACAGGCTGTCCTCGCCCAGCCCCTCGAACATCGGGGCCATCATCTGGGCCAGGAACATCGCCTCGAACTCCTTGCCGGTCTCCTCGGCCTGGCGCTCGCTGAGGCCGGACAGAGCGGCCGCGGCGGCGCCTTTCGGCTGCGCGCCCTTCGGCTGGGCGCCCTGGGCGGTGAGCAGGCTGCCGACGTCCATCATCACATCACCTCGATTTCGGCCTGCAGGGCGCCGGCCGCCTTGATGGCCTGCAGGATGGTGATCATGTCGCGCGGGCCGACGCCCAGGGCGTTGAGGCCGTTGACCAGCTCCTGCAGCGTCACGCCGGACGGCAGCACCGCCAGGCGACGCTCGGAGTCTTCGTCGACCTCGATGTTGGTGCGCGGCACCACGGCGGTCTCGCCGGCCTCGGCCAGTGGGCCGGGCTGGCTGACCTGCGGCGTCTCGGTGACCCGGATGGTCAGGTTGCCCTGAGCGATCGCCACCTCGGAGATGCGCACGTTCTCGCCCATCACGATCACGCCGGAGCGTTCGTCGATCACCACGCGCGCGGTCTGGTCGACCTCCACGGGGAGCTGCTCGATGTCGGTCAGCAGGGCCACGGTGTCGCCGTCGTAGGTCGGCGGCACCTGCACCTTGACCGTGCCCGGGTCGGTGGGGCGGGCGGCCGGCACGCCGGTAAAGTCGTTGATCGCCTCGGCGATCCGCCGCGCGGTGGTCAGGTCCGGGTTGCGCAGGCTGACCTCGACCGCGGTCAGACTGGCGAGGTCGAAGTCGATCTCGCGCTCGACGATCGCGCCGTTGGCGATGCGGCCGGTGGTCGGCACGCCGCGGGTGATCTGCTCGGCCGCGCCCTGGGCCTGGAAGCCGCCGACCGCAACCGGACCCTGGGCGACGGCATAGACCTCGCCGTCGGCGCCGACCAGCGGCGTGACCAGCAGGGTGCCGCCCTGCAGGCTCTGGGCGTCGCCCAGGGCGGCGACCGTGAGGTCGATTCGCGTGCCCTGGCGGGCGAAGGGCGGCAGGTCGGCCGTCACCATCACGGCGGCGACGTTGTCGGTGTCGAGGTCCTGGTCGCGGGCATTGACGCCGAGGCGCTGGAGCATGCCGATTAGGCTCTCGCGGGTGAACACGGCGCTGTCGAGATCGTCGCCGGTGCCGTTCAGGCCGACCACCAGGCCATAGCCGACCAGCAGGTTGTCGCGGATGCCCTCGAAGTCGGCGATGTCCTTGATGCGCGACTGGGCGGCGGCCGGCTGCGTCAGCAGCAGCGCCACCAGCAGCGCCACCAGCAGCGCGCCCAGGGACAGGCGGGCGGTGGCGGTACGGATCCGGGCGAAGGCGTGGGGCATGGGTCCAGCGAGCTTTCCGTGTCGTCCCGAGCGGTGCCGGCTCTTGTGGCGGCCGGCTGTCAACGCGCTCACAGATGCGAATGCCGTGCCAATCCGGCGCTCCTTCCTTAAGGTGTTGAAATAGAAGGAAACGTCGGGGAGGTGCCCAAGAGGACTAGGCGGTTCGGACCGGGGGCGGCGCTTGCCGGGCGGCAAGATTTTCCCTTTCAGGGGCTTCGCTTAACGCGCGCTTAACTGCGATCCGCGCAGTCTCCGCGGGTCACGGGAGACGAACGGACAGCATGAAGATCGATCCCCTTTCCGGCTTGCGGGCTCAGACGGTTCGCCGCAAGGAGCGCAGCTCCGGCGGCGGCTCGGCGTTCGCCGACGCGCTCAAGGGCGGGGCCGAGCGGGCGTCGCACACCGCCGGTGCGCCCGGCGTCGGCGCGCTCGACACCCTGCTGACGCTGCAGCAGGCCCCCGATGCCTTGGCGGGCCGGGCCAAGGCGCGCAAGCGCGGGGAGGATCTGCTGGATGAGCTGGACCGCCTGCGCGTCGGCCTGCTGATGGGTCGCGTCTCCCTGGCGGGGCTCAAGCGCCTGCAGGCGCTGCTGGGCCAGGCGCGCCCGCAGGTCGACGACCCGCGGATCGAGCAGGTGCTGGACGAGATCGAGACCCGCGCCGCTGTGGAACTCGCCAAGCTCGGCCAGTGAAACCCGCCTGATCGGGCGCCTGTCGGGCGCCGCGCCGGGCGAATTCGACCTGACGTCGAAATAATCCCTATTTTTCAATCAGGTGACCTTTGCCGCCCAGGCAAATCACTTCGCTTGTCGCCTTCGACTTTTTGCCTATACTCCGCGCCGGCTCTGGCCCCTATGGTGACTCGGTGAGCAGGCAGGCGGCATGACGACGGTCACTCTCGAACCCGACTACCGTCCCAGCGAGGACGAGGCGTTCATGAACCCCAAGATGCAGGAGTACTTCCGGCGCAAGCTGTTGCGTTGGAAGGCGGAGCTGCTGCGGGAATCGGGCGAGACGATCAACCATCTGCAAGAAGGCGGCCTGGCCGAGCCGGACCTGGCCGACCGCGCCTCGCTGGAGACCGACCGCTCGCTGGAGCTGCGCACCCGCGACCGCGAGCGCAAGCTGATCTCCAAGATCGACGCCGCCCTGCAGCGGATCGAGGACGGCGAATACGGCTACTGCGAGGAGACCGGCGAGCCGATCTCCATCAAGCGCCTGGAGGCGCGGCCGATCGCCACCCTCTCGATCGAGGCGCAGGAGCACCACGAGCGCATGGAACGGACCCAGCGCGACGACTGACGCCAGCGCGGCGGCGGACCCCGGCACAAAGACGGACTCCGGCAGGACGGCGGCCCCGGTGCGGCCCCTGCGCGGCCCCTGTGCGGCCAGGCGCCGGCGGCCGCGAAGAAAAGGGCCGGCTGCGCGGATGGCAGCCGGCCCGAGTGTGCCAAGCGGGACGGAAGGTCGCTTGGAGTTCCGGTCTCTTCCCGGGCGCTCTCGGCTTAGAACGGGAAGATGATGTCGTAGATCTGCTGGCCGTAGCGGGGCTGCTGCACGTCCGAGAGGTGGCCCCGGCCGCCGTAGCTGATGCGCGCCTCGGCGACCTGGTCGAAGCTGACCGTATTGACCGCGGTCACGTCCTCCGGGCGCACGATGCCGGTGACCTGCAACTGGCGCAGTTCGTAGTTCACGCGGGTTTCCTGCCGGCCGGCGATGACCAGGTTGCCGTTCGGCAGCACCTGGGTGACCATGGCGGCGACACGCACCTCGATGGTCTCCTCGCGGTCGATCGTGCCGCTGCCGCCGGAGACGGAATCCGCGCCGGCGTCCACCAGGTTGTCGTTGTCGACGCCGTCCGGAAGGATCTTGTCCAGCTCGGTCTCGAAGCCGAGGAAGCCGCCGAGGCCGGCGCTCTCGCTGCTGGTCCGGCTGCGCTCGGAGGAGTTGGACATCGCGGCGCGGTCCTGGATGTCGATCACCACCGTCATGATGTCGCCGACCTGGCTGGCCCGCTGGTCCTTGAAGAAGGCGCGGCTGCCGGGCCGCCACAACGAGTTGGCCTGGAAGTCCAGCGCGACCGGCCGCGGCATGGGCACGGCCACCGGCTGGTTGCCGTGGTACTGCGCCGGGTTCTCGATCTTGCTCATCTCCGGCGCGGCGCCGACCTCGGACAGGCGGGTCAGCATGTTGCAGCCCGGCAGCATCAGCATGGCGGCGACCAGGCCGAGCGCGGCGAGGTGGCGCGGCGGGCGCCGGCGGGGCGGCGCGGCGGTCTTGGCCGGGCCGGTTTGACAGGGCGTGCGCGGCGGCAGGGCGAGGCTGGTCATGACAGGGTCCTTTCCGTCCTTCGGGTGGCCCGTTCGGGCTCTGGTGTCGCGCCGGCAGGGCGCGGGGGCGTCTGGGTCAGTTGCCGATCGTGGCGTTGAGCGGGGTCACCATGACCAGGCCGGCGTCGGCCACCCGGCCGGTCACCACGGCGCTGGACTTCGGGTTGAGCACGCGCACGGTCTCGCCGCGCGCGCCGTCCTCCATGGCGCGGCCCTGGGCGGTGAGCTGCATCGCCGCGGTCTGCACGCGCAGCAGGACCATCTGGTTCTTCTCGACCAGGACCGGTTCGCCGACTTCGCTGATGCGCACCGGCTGCCCGGCCCGCAGGCCGCGGCGCGGGCTGCTGCCGATCAGCGCCTCGGCCTCGGTCACCACATTGCCGGCGACGCGGTCGGCCTGCTGCGGCAGCCAGTCGATGTCGCGCGCGGTGATCACCTCGCCGGCGGCGACCCGACGGTTCAGCACCGGCACCTCGACGATCTCCAGCAGGCGGCCGGACACCGCCACCTGCAGCACCCGGCCGCCCTCGACCGGCGCGCGCAGGTCGGCGGCGAAGCGGCCGCTGCGCGGATCGTGGTCGATCTGGGCGACCTCCAGCCGACCGGCGGCGCTGGCCGGCAGGTGGCGGGTGAAGCGCGGGTTGTCGAGCTGCACCGACAGGCGGGCCGGGTCGAGGCCCTGGTCGGCGAAGCCGTCCAGCAGCAGGCCCTCCAGGCGCGCGGCGTCGAGCAGGAACGACTCCCGCCGCAGCTTGACCGTCTCCAGGGTGGAGCGCGGCCGCCAGGCGATGCCGTAGGCGCGGGCCACCGACCAGAGCCACTGGGCCTGCAGCTCGATCTGCTCGCCCGGCGCCGGGGCGCGGGCGATCGGCACGTCGGCCTTGGCGATCTCGCCGTGGAAAAGGTCGCCGAGGCGCACCAGGTCGCTGTCGACGCTCACCTGCGGCTTGAGCGCCACGGGCACGCTGGCGGTCTGCAGGGTCTCCTCCGCCACCGGCGGCTCGGCGGCGAGCGCGGAGGCGGCGGCGAAGAGGCCGGCGACCAGGCTGGCGGCGGCGGCGCTGCCGCGCAGGAAGCGGCGCGACCTCTTGGAGCGGTCGGTCTGGGGGCGGGGCGTGGCAGTCATGGCGGGGGTCCTCTCGTGCGGCCGTGCGGCGGCGGGGGTCAGCGCATCTGCGAGACGCTGCGCATCATCTCGTCGGAAGCCTGGATGACCTTGGAGTTCATCTCGTAGGCCCGCTGGGCAGTGATCAGGTTGGTGATCTCCTGCACGACGTTGACGTTGGAGGTCTCCAGCGC